GCATCAGCATAAATTGCCCTATTCTCTTGAAAAAAGGTGCATCTTAACAATCATTGCATTTATCTGATGCAGAAAGCAAACTATGCAGTGAATCTTGGTAATTACCTGGTGTTTGTTTTTCCTCATCTGAAGCTTAGGCCTCAGGGTGTTCTTGCAGTTTGTATACTTGTGTCCTTCCATACCACAATTTCCACATGTAATAGTGCCCATCCTACTAGTATCTCTTGGCCCTGCAACTTCAAACTCACCTTTACTCCTTGCAGTCTATTTTCTGCCAGCCTTTTCTTTGAACACAGGAGGCTCAATATCTGGAGTGCCTGTACTAGGCCAACAATCTGGACCAGGGACAGTATATGACTAGAAGGGTTGGGCGCGCTTTGTTGCGCTGTTGATGTTTCTGAATTTTCATAATTTTGGTACTCTATCTATCTAAAAATATAAGGTGTGTTATTTTTTGAAAAGTCAAACCTCTTTAAATTTGACCACATTTTTGTAGAAATATATCGATATCCATAATATCAAATCGGATTGTTAGATTCATTATGAAATGAATTTCCATATTATTATTATTATTATTATTATTATTATTATTATTATTATTATTATTATTATTGTGGATGTCGATATTTTTGCCTCCGAACTTGGTCAAAGTTTAAAAATTTGTCTTTTCAATAAACTAATACACCTTATATTTTAGAATGGAGTGAGTATTAGGTTTGGTTAGTTGGGAAGATGATGGAGTGTGTTTTCTTTTTTATTCATATAATGTGGTGTTCTAGTGGGCTTTCGTGGTGTGATTTGTGTTGTTTGCCAATCAACTCATACTTATGTGCGAAAATTTCTGCGTTGGTGGCTGCATGTACTATATTGATGTTACATTATCATACGGTAACCCTATTTTTAGGTGATGAGCGGGTGCCTAGGATTGATATGTTTTTATAGTCGGTTGCTTCCAATTGATTTGAGAAATTGTTGACCTAGTCAAAATTATGAACCAAATCCAATATTTAACTTTTCAATGGAATAGGAGAACTCTAAATTAAAAGATCATAGTGAATTAAAATAATTGAGTGAGAGATTGTTGACCCAATCAAAATTAGTGACCCAATTCCAAATTGGTGACGTCGGTTGAATGAGAGGCCTCCAATTCTAGGGAGCTCGGTGATATATTATATATCTTTGTATGCCTCCAAGTATAGTAGTTTCTTGAAGAATTCATTCACATAGTCCTCAGGATGGAGCTTTTGCTTTGTCAATGCAGATATGACATGACTGTAAGGTACACCTGTCATGTTCCATCTCTTGCAGTCACATGTATAATTTTCCATGTCCACACAATACTGTTTTCCTTCGCTACTAACTTGCCAAATTGTTGGACTTGCTCTATCAGCCATGCAGTACTTGGCATACTTCTTGTTCTCTTCTAGAATCTCTGCGTAGTTAGGTGAGATTGTCCACCTGCTAATCTGCAACTTCTCCCTAGTTTGTTGTCTCTTGATCATTTGTTTGGTCCTGATCCCATCAAACATTGACCTTATTGGTTTGGCCCTAACATCAAGTATCATCTTGTTGAAAACTTCACTAAGTTTGTTGACAACCAGATCTGTTTTGCAAGTATGATCCAGAGCAAACCTAGCCCAAGCAGAGACTTTTATATTTTTGAGCCATTTCCAAGCTTCCTCGGACTGTTCTTTCAGCTCTGCCATCCCTAATTCATGCCCATATTTGGCATAGGAACAGCTACCTGGTCAACACGCTTCTTTAGTTCCTGTCCTCTAAACCCAGCTGATTGAAAATTTGCATATATGTGCCTGAGATAGTACCTTTGAGGTGAATCAATGGATACCTCATTTATTGCCTTAAGCAAGCCCTATACATTCAGAATTTATTAGTACACATGATCAAACACAATAATTCCTATAAATACAATAACAAAAGTGATTAATGAAATTGTTACTAACCTTTTGTCTGTTAGATATGATGGTGTATGTTAAAGTTTGGTACCACTACCAATGCAACATCTCAACTGAGTTAAAAACCAACTCCAATTGTCACCATCTTCCTTGTCAACCATACCAAATGCTATGGGATGTATATTTTTGTTGCCATCCCTTCTATGGCTACAAGAATTTGTTGTCCAGTGGTTAACTAGATGAAGCATCCATCTAGACCTGGATTCAGTCAGAAATTAGCTCCAGACCATAACATCGCCAATAATTAAGAAAAACTAAAATCAACAATTTTTACCTATAAATGGCCTGCAACCATTAAGGAAACCTTCCCGTGAAGCTGCTAACAAATAGAACATATACTTGAATCTAGGAGTTGGTGCTGTGTTTTCCGGATCTTCAAATGTTGTTACTATACACCTACTACCAGGTTCTATAAAGAATTGCTTGAAGATAATCCCTGAGCCTCAAGTACTGTTGCTTGTGGTCACCTTGCACCACATCAACAACCTTCCTCCTTGTCCTATATGCCACACTTTTTGACACATCCACTAGAAACTTAGTATTGGTCTTTTTAATCAATGCATCCATAGGAGATCTATTGTCTTCTCTCAGTGCTGCCTATACTGACCTGGACAACCACTTTGTAGTAACCTTTGTAGTCTCTGCACATGCTTCACAAGTGTGCATCATATCACACTTATTGATGCAGAAAGTTTTTTCAAGCTAACTTAGAGGCACTGATATAGAAGTTGCATCCCTGGGCTCTCTGTGAGCACCAAACAATAATCCTATGTGGTGCATTTATGTGATACTAAAAATTCCTCACAGTCCTAACGCGGAAATCCCTAAGTGCATCTCTGAACTCATAGACACTGGTGAAGCACAGCCCCTTGCAAAACTGTTCCGCTGGTCCTGAAAGTTTATCATTAAACCATATCCTGTCCTTCAACTTTTTGTTCCTTCTCTTCCTACCACTTGGTAGTCTGTAGGATCCTTCAGACTCACTCGCTTCATCACTAATGCCAAAATCACCAGAGAAACATATTTCATCTGCTTTAGAAAAACAATATGTTTTTTTCTCAACCTCATGGCGGGATATATTGGTTGGACCAGGATTTCTCACTGGCTTGAGTTTCACTAGCACTGATGTATCTTGTTTTGCAGATTCATCTTCAGAGGAAGCATCTGCCTGAAATTCCACATTGTTGCCATCTGAATCTGATTGCACATCATCAGAAAGAAATTCAGAGACATCAATGTCACCTTCAAAATGGTTAAGGCAAGCTTCTCTCAGCATATTGCTTTTCTTAATCTCCTCCTTTCTGTCTGTGTTGTATTCCACACCTTAGTGCAACTTTGTTGTGTGTTAATGCAATGTTCAGCAAAATAACTATCTCTGTTTTCATCTGCATTACATGGCTCATCTGCTCTAACAACTCTAATGTTCAAAATCTTTTCATTATGAGAGTGGGTCAACATCTGCTGCACATCATCTAGAACATATTTCCTCCAGACCTTCTATTCCTTTCTCCTCATCAAATGCATAGTACATATAATCATCAGGCCCACAATGCTCACTCCCAGTAAGAGAAACCATAGTCAAATATGATGTGTCTGACTGATACAGATATCTCACCACAAATTCTCTGGCTTGGGAATGGAACCAAATTGCCCACTTTGGGTCATCAACAATGCACATATTCAATGAATTACAAGTATTAACAGATAACTGGACAAACTGAATCTAAGTGTGCACAACTTTCAGATTAGAGCAAATTATTTGCAAAAGCACTAACAGATAACTGAATCTAACTATGGATCTGATAATGATGGCAATCTCAGACAAACTTTCAGTCTGATGAGCTCTCATACCTGCCGCTGCTAGCAGCCAGAAGCTTACGCCGACCACGAGGTGCACTTCTTGTTGTCGACGGTGGTCGAGCTGGCGCCGTCCTAGCCAACTTATGAGAAGGCCGTGATTCTAGCTGCGGAGGCTGCTGCGCCGCGAAGCTCGTGCTGCCTAGCCATCTATCCACCTAGGAGAAGTCAACAACCCCGCCGCCGTCGCCGATGAAGTTTGCATCCACGGCCACCATGAGAGCCGACAGCTAGTGCTAGGGAGTGAGCTTGAGGGAGAGTGAGATGGGGAACGGGGGAGCCGGGCGGAACCATCTTGAGCCCGGTCCGACCGAGCGGCGCAAGTAACGACCACCAGCCGTCACCGCTAGCCATTAGGCACCCCGTCGTCCTGGCACCACCTCGGGAGGAGGGTGTGGGGCTGTGCCTGGCACCGAAGGGTGGCATCGAGCACCGCCAGGAACCCGAGCTTTGGGACTGGGACGCCATGGAGGTGGACTGGACAGGGTCATGTAGGCGGCAGGGTTGAGAGAGCTACTTGATCTTCAGTCCTCGCCCCACGACCAAAGCTGTGACCGTCAGCTCTCTGACTCGTGCACAGTCCCACACATTACCCGGCTCTCTGCATTCTGACACACTCCGCAGTACAGTACTGTATCGATTTGCCCAGATTTGGTCTCGTCGGATCAGGATTTAGATATCATCGCCTGATGGCCGTAGGCTTCTGCATTGTCGACAATGTCGGACGCAGTGGAGCGCCCGAGTGCCCCGCCGGTCCCTCCCCGGATGCCACTGCTTTGGCATCCTGTTCTCTTTCCCTTTTGGTCGTGTCACCTCCTCTTCGCTTTGCAGTTTACCGTCCAAAATTCTGTCTTTAGCTCTTTGCCTCATACTATCAGTGGAACAACGAACTGCTTGGATTGAAAGCCGTTTTCCAGAAGAAACAGCAGAGGGAGTCAGAAAGCAAATCTGAAAGTACATGCATGTGAGTTATTGAGATAACTTGCAAATTCTTCCCTAGGCCACTACAGCACTCTCAAACCATCTCAACGAGGTCAACTCGGATTGACCGTGATTTCTGTGTGCGCCCAGTATTCAGCTCAAATTTGAACTGAATACCCGAGAGCACGCAAAATGTGTACCCAATCCAAACAGGGTATTAAGGTTCTTGTTTGTCAACGGCGGTGCCGCTTAAGTCGCTGTGATCTTGTGACCGTACACAGGGCGCGGGCTCACGACGAGGTTGCGGCCACTGCTCTGCTTGCGCCATTTCCAGGAGTCGGCCGGCGTGCTGGGCAGCGGGGGCACGGCGGGGCGGCGGCACAGCCCGAACGGCCACCCCTCGCAGTGCTGGAAGCCCTCCCACGTCGCCGGCGGGCCCATGTCCGTCAACGACGCCACGGTCGCCGCCCGGCTCGTGCTGCGCGTGAAGAAGCTCTTCACCGAGAAGAACGCGTCGCTCTCGGCGTCGCCGTTTTCGCTGCCCGCCTCCGCCTCTTCCTTCTGCTCCCCTTCCACCACGACGAACTGCTCAGGGCTCGAGACCTTCTCCAGAACGCTTCTCGGATCGAGCGGGGTGAACGACCAGATGAAGGCGCTCGACAGAGTCGGAGAGCCCGCGCTGCACCGCGACTCCTTCTTCAGCTGCCGCCTCCTCATCTCGTTGAGTATCACCTGCAGCATCAACGCAAGACATCTTACTCTCCTGTTACTCATGACCTCAATCTCAAGTGAACTCAGCATGAACATGACTATAGCATGCTCTGCTGTTACCTGTTTGGTGTCGAGCGCGTCCTCGTCGTCTGTGTCATCGTCGGAGCTCCACCCGGCGCCGGGGATCCTGAGGCAGGGGACATGGCAGTGTGCGTAGGTCTCCCGGATGAGGCAGGAGAGAGACTTGCAGTGGTTAGTGGCCGGGAGCTTGGGGTGGTAGTGGTGCGCCAAGCAAGGCATCGCTCCAGCTGACTGCAAGGGATCGGTCGGTCTGGTCCGGTTGCTTGTGCAACGCTCATGCAATCAGCGATGGATGCTTGTGGGTATGTGTATGTGTATGTGATCTCTGCTGGTGATGGAGTTGTGCGTATAAATGGGGGGAGGATCTTGTCGCCGTGGCCGGCGAATGGGTTTTCAGCTGTGAGGGATGTGGACGCGCATGACAAGCGCCCCGCAACGTAAAAGGAGAGGAGGCTCTCGATTGCACCGGAGTCCGTAGCTAGGTAGTTCATAATCCTTTGGGTTCAAGGCTAAGTAAGAAATATTCGAGCTCGACAGTGTACTGGAAATTGACCAAGTTTTTTTATTTCAGCCATGCTAAACATGGGAGTTTAGTGTATCCGTGGACGATAATGAAGGACTGAAAGCGCATCGTTAGCACGTCATGAGTGAACGCCAAACAGAGCATCGACCACAGCTACAGCTACAGCTACCACCACAGCTTGTTGTTTGATTCACAAGGTTTCTTGACCCGGGGTAGGGGTACCAACCAAACCGGTATGTATGCTACGCTTTTGGGGTGAAACGTCGCCGTTGAGATAAACCGGCCGTCTTGACCACGCGCGCGTGGGCGCGTATGTATGTGAGTATGTGGGTTTTTAGTTGCCGCGGCGGCGTCAGATCATGCGTCGACCGGTGGAAGCGGCCAGCACTACTCCGCGTCCATCGTGCCCTCGCCGGTGCAGGTGCAGTGCCGTCTTGAAGCAAACGCCAAGACCAACCTCGCACCCACTCGACTCGATGATGCCAAGTGTGCGTGATCGCCGCGCCGATCGACCAAAAAGCCCAAGAACATTCGCTCTAGCAAAGCTGCGTGAGTGAGTATGAAAATGGCACGGTTCCGTATGTGCTACTCCCTCCGGTCTGAATTACTTGTCGCACGTATGGATGTATCTAGTTTTGTATGCGCATGTTCCTGATGCCGCGAGCCACACAGGCTCTACGTCTGCCTCCGTCTCCTGTTGCTCAGCGCATGCCAACTACTCAATGAAATGCCCAGCTGAGTTAAAACCATGCCAAGTCAACACGAAAATCATTTTCGACATGTAGAGGGACTAAAACAATCCAGTTTGAGAAGCTAAGGGACAAAGCTTTGCCTATTTGGAAACTGGGGGCCATTTCTATTATAATACAATAGAGTTGAGCTACCTGTGACAACCCACAGCAATTTGGGGTTCTCAGTCATCCGATCATTCTATCCGACGCTCCATATCTCTTCATTGCATCACGGTTCACGCCTGCCAACTTTCACTACATCAGCCGCGTGGCCCACTCGGCTCACCAGGCCACTACTCCACCTAGGCATTCTCTTGTTAATCGGAAAGACTGACCCGCATGTGCGTAGACAAGCCCAGAAAGAGGATACTTCCGGCCCCTACCGTGCTTTCATGCCTCTCCATCTCTCCCGATGATGATGTGTCGCCCCGCGGCACGCACTGTCAACATCGCACCTCGGCTTCTGCACTTCTCGACGTGCGCCTGGGTCTGTTTGAATATGTCCATGGTAGAACTTTTCAATCCTTGAATCACTTCTCCGTGATTCTTGCTGCAGACTCTTCATACTTTCACGATGTTGCCTTGGCTGATGGTTGCACCCGTCCAAGACCGCCCTCACGCTCCTTGTTCAACCAAGCTAAACCGACATCTCTCTTCTCTGGTATCTGCATCCTCTCCCCTTCCTCTCTCTTTTTTCTATGTGCATCTAAATTCTCTGCCAAATTGCAGGGACATGCCGCTTCACAGCCTCTATCACGCCTAAGGTCTCGATTATGTTGGTGCCTCGGCCTGCGTTCCATCCCCTTGTTCTTGTTTTTTTATCAAAGAAGGGCTTCCCCCTTCCGGATTTCATACTGAAAACCAACTTGCAGAAGCACAATATTCAACCTAAAGACTAGCATAATTATAGCAGCGCCACACAAACCCGCACAAGCCAACATCACCAAAAGCCATCAGGCCTACAAGTCTGACTACCAACATCAACCACGATAAAACGAAGTTCATAAGGGCACCAGAAAAAACTAACAGCTAAAGAAACTACTAAAAACGCAGCAACAACATAAAGGTACACAAATTCAGCAGCCGGCAGAATCTTCTTTTTCTCAGCCCTCCAATCTTGCCACATTGATTCTCCACCCCTGCTTCGCTGTGTAAACTTCATTTGCTACCCGCTCTAGCAGTCTTGCTCCCAACTCTAGCACCCTTTTTAGCGGCTCTTTTGTCTGCAAGATAGACCAATCAACCAACCAATGAGCCATTAGTTTGATTATATATAAAGGATCATTTATCCTTTTGTTTTAAAAAATAATCCTGTTTCTACTCTTCCAAATAGCCCACAACAGAGCAGAAACCCCCACCATTACTAACTTTTTTATCATCCCTGCCAAACTTGTTTAGTCAATTCCCAAAGCAATCCCTTACATTCAAGGGGGTGGTTTTAAGCCCACAAACACATCTGATCAACCCCCACATCAGGGATGCCACAAAGCATTCGAAGAACAGATGATCAACTGATTCATCTTTCCCACAGAACACACAACTTTTCCCTCCTTTTCATCCTTTTTTCAGCAAATTGTCTCTTGTCAAGATACTTTTCCTATTAACTAGCCATAAAAAAACTTTGATTTTTCCACGCACTTTGGTCTTCCACAGAAATTTTTGTGGGAATTTCAGACCAAGAGTGATAATTTTTCTATACAAGGATCCCACTGAAAATTTATGATCTGCAGTGAGGATCCAGGTGATTTTGTCCCTCCCACCCCCCATAGATACTTCCTCACATATACTTTTAAGACTATTCCATAACTCCAGAACTTCCCCATGTAAGGTTCTTCTGAATTTAAATCCTTGCCATCCTTTTTGTATGGCCTCATCCACAATTATATTGATATCATATACTCTAGAGTAAGCTTATTTTAAAGGTTTATCATCTACCCAAGTATCTTCCCAAAACCTGGTATTTTTTCCATCTCCTAGTTCTTTTTTAACAAATTTGTAAAATATTTCTTAAATTCTCATAAGACTACCCCCAGAATTAGGATTCTCCAGGTCTCTTGGCTATTAAGGCTAAGCATTTCCCCTTTCCATACTTTCTACTAAGTACATCTTGCCATAATCCTTCCTCTGTTTCCCTTTTCCAAAACCATTTGGCCAATAATGCAATAGTCATCACCTCCAGATTTAGGATCCCTAATCCCCCTACATCTTTAGGAATGCAACATTTCTCCCATTTAACTAAACGGTATTTTTTTATGTTCTCATCTTCTTGCCACACCAGTCTAGCTCTGAAAAAATCAGTTTTTCTAATAATACCTTTTGGGACAGCATAAAAGGACATCATAAAAAGTGGAATATTAGTCAGGCATGCTTGCACCAGGGTTATTCTGCCAGCAATAGACCCTAACAACTTCCCCTGCCAACAGCTGCATCTTTTTTCAATTTTGTTAGTTACACAATTCCAGTGTAAGTTTCTAATTCTAGCATCAGACACAGGCATTCTCAAGTATTTGATGGGCAGCTCAAAAAATCACTTGATATAACTTTTTTTCTCTTTACACTTTCCAAAAAGCATCAGTTCACTTTTATGAAAGTTTATTTTGAGGCCAAGCATTTGTTCAAAAACTCCCAATATAAATTTGAGGTTTCCTACACTTTCTATATCATCTTTTATCAAGAAAATAGTGTCATCCGCATACTATAGCATATTGACACCTTTATTATTTTCCCCTCTCAACACCCCTTTCATAACATCATGTTCTAAGGCATTGTTCATCAAAATGGCTAGTGCATCTGCCGCCAAGTCAAAAAGCAATCGTGACATAGCATCACCTTGTCTTAATCCTTTAAAGGTTTTAAAATATGGCCCAATATCATCATTCACCTTGATCCCTACATGCCCTCCCCTCATGGTTTCCATCATCCAGTCACATTTTTCACGGAATCCTTTTAAATTTAATATTTGTATTACAAAAGGTCATTTTATTTTGTCATATGCTTTCTCAAAATCTACTTTGAAAATCAAAGCATCTTCTTTTTCTTTATGAAAAGTATTTAGAGCTTCATGTAAAATCACTATTCCCTCCATGATATATCTACCCTTAATAAAGGCAGTTTGGGTTTTGGATATTATAGGGGACACACATTTAGCCAACATGTTCATCAGCACTTAAGTTATGATCTTGAAGCTAACATTCAACAGGCATTTGGGCCTGAATTTTTGAATTTGTTTAGCATCATTAGTTTTTGGGACAAGAGTTATAATGCCATAATTAAGCCTGGAAATATCAATTTCTCCTCTTGCAAAACCCTCCACCAATGCTTTTAAATCCCATTTCACCAAATCCCAGAATTCCTGATAAAAATTAGCAAGGAATCCATCTGGTCCAGGACTCTTGTTTTTTTTCATTCCAAACACCACCTGTTGAATTTCATCCAAAGAGAAAGGGGCCAAAAGCTCCTCCCTATCTTGAATGCTAATCTTTTTCATCTCAGCCCCTTTCATAGCGATTTGTGTCTCCTCAGGATGTCCAAATATTTTTTTGTAAAAGTTAGTTATGTATTCCATCAGTCTACTCTCTCGCTCTATGATCCCCTCATCTTGTTCTAATGAAATAATTCTATTTTTCCTCCTTCTTCCATTGACCTTGGCATGATAGTATCTAGTGTCCCATCTCCATCAGTTGTCTCTTTATCTTTATATCTTTGTAACCATTTTATTTATTGCTGAAGCAATACTCTTTTAGGTTGTGCCTTAAGCTCCTTCTGTTCTATTCTATCTGCAGTAGTAAGTCCCATTTTCCTAGCTCTCTTGTCTATCTCATCTATCGCCTTGACTATATCTATCTTTATTTTTCTGTACCAAGCATCCACATTCTTATTCCATCCCTTGGTTTTTTCCTCAAGTTTCTTAATCTTAGTTGCCATCTCTCCAGAACATCTCCTCTATATTTCTCATTCCATGTTTT